ATTCGCACTTGATCTCTGGGTGCATATGCTGAGTCATTAAGAATCGAAGTGGGTCGATATGTGATATCAAATTGGAAATCCAAATTGTCGAGAATTGTCAGATGTTGATAATTATACATCGCTGTTCAATTTTATGAATATTCTAAGAAATTTGACAACCGCTTTAGGATCGACTGGTGGCAACGAAGTAGCTACAAAAACCTAGAGTAAAGAATGCACCACTTTTTTATACTGCATTAACATATAATGTATATAAACATGCTTTTTACTATTTAGGGAGCTCCAATGAATACCACAGAAACAGTTGCATAGATGAGAATACAAAGTGCACACAAACAAATGGTAACATTACGATCTGAAAAAAAAATCTCAGTACAACATCAAAATTTACTCTAAACTTATTCTTATTTGAAAGGTATCTGCGGCTTCGAAAATGGCCCTTGTGGGATGCAAAATGATGGGTGGAGATACTACACACCAACCAACACAAGCACAAGATATGATCGTTCATTTTTAGAAGGAGGTATTTATCAATTTTGATAGTATACAGCTAACCAAAAAACTTCTACAAATTCGAAAAACGTCCGATATATAAATGTCTTTTGTGTTTCCATGAAATGATAATGACAGTTGCTATGGTACTGACTATAATATATTACAATGGCTCTCCGATTGCTTTGTCTTGAGTCGCCCTTAAAGAGTCGGAGTAAAATATACACATTACATCTAAACCTTTGTCTTGAGTCGTCCTTAAAGAGTCGGAGTAAAATAAACACATTAAATCTAAACCTTTTTCTTGAGAAATTGGACACAAGTCAAATTGGATTATCTAAAATGACTTCTCAGAAATTATTTAAAATGATGAAATTACCCTGTCATATCTTCAAAGGCAACTATTTCATCTCCAAGTCACAATGGTCTTTGATTATAGCTTCCATGAACGATGGATGATACGTTGTTTTCTTCTCCAGATGGAGAATCCAGGCAGTCAGTTTATCCACGACATGAAAATAGTAGTTGACACTTGTTTAAGTGCCGCATATACTCGAAGTCGATTGCTATACGTCACTAGAACCCAGACCCCTAATTTTCTTTCTTCACAGAAGTCATTTGGCAGCGTGTTACCTTTCGGATAAAAGTGTTTTTCTAAAAGTGTCATGTGCACTTTAAGACTTTGTCTAGAAGTGTTAACATGAGATTTCGTTCTTTGAATCCCATCATAGGTGCCTACTACATTGTAGACTTTGGTATCGACAGATCTACTACCAGCAAATTATCTTTGCAATGGTTCAAAACAAAACAGTATTGCATGCAATTTTGGTACATTGTTCCTGACAAATCTAACTCATCAATAAAAATCTGCGCTGAAAAAAACAATTCAACCAGCTGTCTTTGGAGTGCTGTCGGTAGTAATACTGGTGAATGGACATATGGACAGGTTGAAATACCCTCAAATTTGAATGGGACGGTAGGTGTTTGACCCTTTTGAACTTAATGAATGGATATACGAATGTTTTTTTTCCTTATACAAAATTGAAGAAGGCTTAAAGGACATTATAAACAGAGTTATAAACACTATTGTACAAAAAGATTATCTAGCTTGATGTTAACTAAAAACATTCATAACTAAAATCTACAATCGTTGTCCAAATTGTAGGAACATTTGGRCATTTATTCGCGTTTCACACTACGAAAGAATAAATGACTGAGTTCTTAACCTCCCTCCCCTCTCAATGCTGCTTGTTCCTTGCGAGTCGTCATGCATTTCAAAGCCACCTCTTCATACATCATTAATACAGCAACATTGATTTTTAAGGGGGACCGAGGGATTATTGAAAATATATAACAGGAGTGGGACCTATATTTAATCTCGTATAGTCGTTCCAAGTAATTTTCGGCAACGATTGTAGTTTAGGTACGGTAATACGAGCAGCAAAATCGTCAATTGCGATTGGCAACTAAAAGATGCCGCGCGTATATTACTCCCGACGAGTTCAAAAGAAGACAGCTGTAGTGACATTCAGTTGTCCCTGCTAGGAAGCAAATGTTTCCTTTGACTTCCGTTATTATGCAGGGGGGACTATTACGTAATCGTCTCTCATAGTATTCATAAGGGAGGGATGTCCACTTGTAAGCATCCCTCGGAAGACAAAAGAATCCGAGGTGATCATGGTATTAATAAGTGATAAGACTCAGCTGCTTAAGGAAATGCTTAAAATAACAATACTCATTCAATTTCTCTTAAAGTATCTCCAAACTGACCATTGACTGTAGTAGTGTTCGTACATCACGGAGTCACTCCACTTAGCTTTGGGTACTCGTAGTCATGTCTTTTTGACGTGCTGTGCTTTCGTCTTTAGACATTTGGCGGGGTCTCCTTCGCTTTTTAGCCAGAACTGAACTTTTTGTACTTTGAAACTTGCTGGCGCTCTTTCACCTAGTAATGAGCCAGGAAGATATCGAACGCTGAAAGTCGTGGATTATTCAAAACCGGCATGTGTATTATAGGGGACGAATCTCACTTTAGTGTTAAATCGTTACCAGGCTCCCAAAGTCAAGTTTTCATTATTCACAGCGTGTATGGTACTTAATGTGATTACATAGCACTAACTTTAGAGAAACCATTTTTCAAGAATCAGCTTTCACATTTAATTAAA